TGTGCATACACAGCCCTTCTTTCTCCCATGATTGTTCTCTCCAAGGAGTGTATCTATCTACCTCAGGTACATGTTGGATCAGTTTTTGTTTACGGATTTAAATTCAGGCTGTTCTTTATCTAGTACAATTCTGTCTTTTTCTTTCTAAAATTTTTTATTTTGTTGTTGTTGAGAATATACACACCAAAAACCCCAAACCAAACCCACTGCCGGCAAGTGAATTCTGACTTATGTCAACCCTGAGGACAGAGTAGCACTGCCCATAGCATTTCCATCCTGCCCCATATCTCTCCTGCAGAATGGCTGGTGAGTCCGAACCATCGACTGTTTGGTTGGCAGCTGAATGATTACTCCACCAATTTGGTGGTTTCTACATGGACAGTTTAGGGACATCGATGACATTCTCACCCTCCTCATTTTTTGAGTTGGTCTTCTCACGTTAACATCAACTCACTGCCATTAAGTATCCTATGTGATCTTTTAAGTTGCTGTTGTCAGTTTGGTGTCATATAGATAGCTCTTAAAAGAACATGATACCTAAGGCAGATCTTTTATTTTTTTGCAGTGAAGCTAAATTGTTCTTTGCTTTTAAGAAGACTTCAGGGAATAATTTTGGTTTAAGGTTTAAAGATTTTTTCAAGGCAATGGTTTCAGGGATTCATCTAGCCTCCCTGACTACAGAAAGCCTGGAGTCCATGAGAATTTGAAATTCTGTTCTATATTTTCCCCCTTTTGATCAAGATTTTCCTATAGTGTCTTTGATAAAATGTGCAGTAATGATAGCTGGGCTATCAGTCCTTCTGGTCTCATGGCAAAGGAGGCAGTTGTTCATGGAGGCAGTTAGCCACACATTCCATATTCTCCTCTTCCTCTCTCCTTCCTCTGTTGTTCCAGGTGAGTAAACTTCCAAACCAAGGAACCTAATCCCATGAGATGTTTGGAAATTTTCTTTTTTGATCTTTAGATAGCATCGTTTTCTACTTTAGAATTTATGTGCAGAAAAAAATGAGTTACTCTTTAACTTTTTTCTAGTTATTTATAGTACATGTCTTTTATTGTTGTTGTTGTTATGTGCCGTTGAATCAGACCTGACTCAGTGACCCCTCCTTGGGTTTCCGAGGCAGTACTACTACGGAAGTAGATTGCCCAGCCTTCCTTCCAAGGAGTGGCTGATGGGTTTGAAACACCAGCCTTCTGGTTAGCAGTCAAATGCCTTAGGCACTACACTACCAGAGCTCCCATAGTACATGTCTACAGATCACTAAAAATAATGAAAGGAAAGTTTAGAATTATCATCTGTTTTCTCTTTCACTTTTAGTTGGTGTATACACCCTACAGCAGCATACCTATTGGTATGACAAATGTTAATATTAATGAGTTGTAATTGTTTGGTGACACTGTTCAAGTTCAGTCGTATATGGGGGCAAGGGGCAGACATTCTCTCGTTTGGGTACTGACCTGTTTCTGTTTTCAGATATGCTCCACCATTTTCCGCTTTTGACGGAGAGACAGTACATTGCCACCATTCATTCTCGCCTTCAGGATTCACAGCTGTGGAAGCTGCCCGGCCTGCAGGCCACTGTGAGGCTCTCCTGGGCACTGGCCCTGAGGGGCATATCCCAGCTGCCCGACGTGACAGGTGAATTGCTTATGGGCAGTTTTGTTACTAAGAATGATATGTCAGCATTTACTGATACATTGGAAGGGGTGTTATCTTTGAAACATACAAATATGAGTGTGGTAAGATATCTAGAGTCATGATGAATGGAACTCTGGGATGCAGCAGTGAAGTAATAAGTAGTCCCCAAATGGGGTTCCATTCTGACAACCCTGTCATAAGTCAGTCCTGACAGACGTTGAATACCTCTTCTTTATTTTTAGTCTTCATTACTGGTTGAATACCTCTTCTTTATTTTTAGTCTTCATTACTGTTGCCTTCTATGATTACTGTCTTTATAATCCGATCTTTGAACATCTGTGAGTGAATATCTAAGAATGATAACATCAACACATCACACTGCAACATGGTAGTATGGATCGTCTGAACTCAAATGCTTTGTAAGTCGGGACCTACCTGTATACCTGTTTTTTTTCTTGACTACCAAAAAAATTATATGATGTAGTTTTTCCTTTTGTGGAGCCCGTAACAGTGTTCTTTTAGCTCCTTCCTTAAGAGTCTGAATATTGAATTGGTAATATGTTGGGCAATCCTACTTCCGTAGTGATAGTGCCTCGGAAACCCAAGGAGGGGTCGCTATGAGTCAGGGCCGACTCGACGGCAAACAACAACAACAACAACAATATTACATTAATTTTTTAAAATTAAAAATCACTAACATTTCCATCTTTATACATTTCTTTCTCAGTTTTGTCCACAGACAAACGAACTGTTCACATTGTTATCAATTTAAAAACTTTTTTAAAATCCAAGTATTAGAAAGAAGCTACTTGGACCAGTCAGGCAGGGATGTGGCATTCTGAAGTTGGACAGTCTGGTCCCCACCCTGTGGCACTGATTACGGTGTTTCATGCTTCCCTTGATCATGCAGAAGACACCACATGCTAATCTTTGTTTGCATTCGTGTTATTATCATCTACGTGCTTTACCCTCAAGGCATGAGAACTATGCTTTTGCTGTCATTGGACTCTCAAAGATGTGTCGCTTCTGTAGTTTTTTGTGGTAGATCTACAGAGACTCTGTTGAACTTTGTATTGCACGTCGGCGTCTGCAGGTGTCAGCATGGCCGCAGAGTCCAGCATCTTAACAGTCTTGTTACTAGCATCATGCTTTTCCCAGGAAGTCTGCAGAAGGGCTTTTCTGTGCGTGTGTTAAGAGTCCCTCCTTGCTCAAGTTTTTTTTTTTTTTTTTTTTTTTAATGGTCAAAGGCAGATAAGAAAAAAATGAAAAGCTTATCTTCTGTGGCAAAATGCAAAACGCGAACGCAACCACTGCTGTGGAGTCGAATCTGACTCCAAGGCAGTATCACTACAGAAGTAGATCACCCAGTCTTCCTTCCGAGGAGTGACTAGTGGGTTTGAACCACCAGCCTTCTGGTTAGCAGTCAAATGCCTTAGGCGCTATGCCACCAGAGCTCCTCTTGAAATAATCTAGATAGCTTTTTTTTTTTTTTTTTTGGTACTTGTGGTGAAAGGAGCTCTAGTGGTGCAGTGGTTAAGGCATTTAGCAGCTAACCGTAAAGTCCATGGTTCAAACCCACCAGCTGCTTCATCAAGAAAGATGAGGCAGTCTGCTTCTTACAGACTACAGCCTTGGAAACCCGGTGGGGCAGTTCTACTCTGTCCTCTTAGGGCCACTGTGAGTCAGAATTGACTCAATGGCAGTTGGTTTAGTTTTTTGGATACTGTGGTAAAATATATATAACAAAAAGTTTGCCTTCTGTCATTTTTTAATGTATATTCAGTGACATTAATTATGTTCACCATCTTGTACCATCACCACTATGTATTTCCAAAACTTTTTCATGACCCTAAACAGAAACCTAACAGCAACAACAAACAGAAACTCAGTGCTCCTTCACAAATACTACTGTTGCCTCCTCCCCCTGTCCCTGGTCACCACTTGTAACCTTTTTTCTGTATTCATTTGTCTGCTCTAGGTATTTCCTCAGGAGGATCACACCACGCCTGTCCTTTACTGTGTGACTTATTTCACCCAGTGTAATGTTTGTTGATGCATATTGTAAAATGCGTCATAACTAACTTCATTTCTCTGTATGGCTGGGTAATCCTCCACCATAGGGATGGCCCGCAGTGTGTATTCCTTCATGTGTCGATAGGCACTTGGGTTGTTTACACCTTTTTTGGCTTTTGTGACATGACTTAACAGAAATGACAGTTTTGAAAAACTAGTTCCTGCTCTCTGTAGATATCTCAAAACTTTATCAAACTTGTTTATTATTTTCTCATATTATGAAAAGAAACGTGCTTGGAATTTTACTATACAAGATCTTAATGTACTATTTAGGCATTAAAACTCAATTAGCATTAACATACTAGTGCTGTCTCATTGCCTAGCTAGTCTTCTAGAAGCAGTTCTTACATGGTTCATTTTGCAGTTTGAATTCCAGTGTTTCCAAATTCAAGTGAAGTTTTGGAACTAACCGCATGAAATAGTTAATTGGTATCAATAAATATAATTATTGATCATAATAAAGAAATAAGGAACGATTGTGTATGGAAAGGAAAAATATGCTGGCTTTGTTTCAAAAGGCAAAGCAAAACATAAGCCAAACCAAAACCTGCCAAACATCTGTTTTCCTCTGGGTGAGACAGCTCTGGCTGAGATCAATTACTGGCCCTTTCAAGGCAGTGAAATGTCCTTTCAGTTACCAGTACACTATGTATTTGGTCTTGGAGACCATCCCACAGCATAGCCCCTGCAGCAGTTCCTTCTGAAAGCCAAATTACCACAAAATTACCTAGCGCTCTGTATTTAAAATTTTAAAGGAGTAATTGGGAATCCATCTTTCAATGGAAATACTCAGTGCTACCTATCTCTTACCACCCCCCCCAAAAAAATCGAACATAGATCAAGCAGCTCTAGATCAGCTAGTTTTTAGAACAGCAGAGATCGGAAGGCAGTGGCAAACTGCAGGGTGGAAAACGATCAGGTTTCTTCAGCAAATAAATGGTGAGGGGGAGTCCACAGCCTTATTAACCAGTGTGCTGTGCAGACCCATTAATTACCTTCA